TCTCATTTTACATCAATTTTTATCTTAAAATTGATTTTTAAAATTACTTTTCCAAACACTTAATATAACACCTTAAATATAATAATTCATAATATATCGTTACAATTCTCGTCACTAGATGTCTCATTAACTTTTGCAATGATATATCCAGACATTTCTAGGAGCTGCCTTCTTTTCGCTTCCCGACAATGTTCAAGATAAAAAAAAAAGCGAACGAAAGTTCTTAACACGAAAGATCTAATCCTCATTCGCTTTCCGATCACACTTCCAAGCCATAAATTATTCCTCCGACCATTAATTCAAACGTGAACACGTGTTCTCTACTTATCAATCACTCCCACCATTCAATCCACGATCCCAGCCTCGTCTTTCTCATAATGACATTATGACAACCGTTCACCGTGGACGGATGGATCGTTCAGCATCGTGAAAGCTTTTACAGGATTTTAGAACGACAAGCACAACGAAGCTGTTATTCGACCACGCACGAGGGCCGCTCGTTCCCGAGATTCCTCGAGAAAGAGGAACGTGGAAGACGAGTCCTTACTTTCCTACGACGAAGAATCCTACAGCTATGTTAGAGCGGCTATCTCAACGACGATCGCTCCACCGTTATTTATGAACATTTTCCACAGGCGAAATTTTCTCCTTGTAACGTTTCCCGATCGATTATCGTTCGCAAGGTCGCGAATAACCGTTGTGTCGAGTCGGCGAAGACTCGGATCCGTGTCGCTTTATCGACACTCGCTTTACCGACCGATATAGAATTCATTATTGCGCTATTTACAATGGCGGAGATAATACGCCACGATGTCATTTAGCCCACGACATGTACAATAATTTATAATTTTATTTGATCCATTATTAATGGATAATTTATATTGAATAATTATTGAATAAAATTGAGAAACGAACTAATTGTTTATATCTTTTGTTTATTATATTAATTATTGTACTTCGTTTAATAATATTTTCATACGAGTATAAAAATTTGATGTTGACGAAAATTATGTATGATAAAAAAAAAAAGAAAGGATTCATTGGAAAGTAAAAGTGTGCATGAATATTTTTTGCAGTGAAGAAGTTAAGAAGGATGAATAACCATCTTTTTTCGTTCCTTCTGATCTAATTTGAAATTTCAACGTACTACTAACGCAATTTCTTGATCCTAAATATCATATTATTATGCTAATTCAGAAAATATCCCTATATCCTTAATTGTAGATTATTACAATTCCCAAGAAACATTCACTTAGCCATGAGATCGAACCCAAATCAGATACAAGAACCCTAATTATAATTAACCAAAATTGTGCTACTTAAAAAAAAAAAAAAAAAAAAAAAAACAGTTAATTGTACATCATACAACTGCCAAGAAATAATTCATAAAAACCGAATCCAAATTAAACATAATAACTACGTATAATCATCACAAAATTGTTAATTCAAAAAATATCTATACTATATACACTTGCTAAGAAAGCAGTTCGTCCATCAACTCCTCAAACAAAACGCAACAATCACGGTAACAGATACACATAATCGGTGAACAAACCAGAATTCGAAAATCGTATAATCTTCGTCTCCATTTCACAATTTGCTAATCCTTCAATAATCCAGTCACCCCCAATTATCTCGAATGAATGCTTTAATCTATGTCAATGATACACGAGATATATGCATTCGTCGCCAACGAGGAAAAAAAAAAAAAAAAAAAAAGAAAAAAGATTCCAAAAACCGTGACCGATCACGGTAGCAGGCGAAGACGTGTCTCTCTTTTTTCCCTGCCCCTCCACCCTTTAACGGGACCCATTAAAACGTCATTAAGCGGTTTGGCCGTGGGTTGAGAGCCACGGATAAATTGGTAACATCGGTCAGTGCCACCGGGATAAATTCCTCGACAATAATTGCGCCGCGGCTCACGAGGGACCCGATACAATTATTCCGCTCACGATCGCCCAACCATTTTTCATCCAACCTGCCGAATCACTGTCGTGATTCAGTCAACCGGCCCGGCGAAATTCGTGTCC